GGATGTGGAGAAACGGGCACCCTCCTACACTGTTGGTGGGAATGTAAACTGGTACAGCCCCTCTGGAAAACAGTGTGGATATTCCTCAAAAAATTAACACTAGAACTCCCCTAAGACCCAGCAATAGCACTGCTAGGAACTTACCCAAGGGATACAGAAATGCTGATGCATAGGAGCACATGTACCCCAATGTTCATAGCAGCACTCTCCACAATAGCCAAAACATGGAAAGAGCCTGTGTCCATCAACGGGCGAATGGATCAAGAAGATGTGGTTTATCTACAATGGAAGGAGGATTAGGAGGAACTTAATGGAGGACCATGGGGGAGAAGAAGGGGGGAAATGGTGGGGGAAAGGGGGAGAGGCAAACCATGAGAGACTCTTTAATGCTGGCAAAAACTGAGGACTGATGGGGGGGAGGGGCGATGGGCATGGAGAGGGGCACTTGTGGGGATGAGCACTGGGTGTTATATGGAAACCAACTTGACAAACTATTTGTAAAAAAAAAAAAAAAAAGAATCTTTTCTCATCTATCCCACCTTCTTTCACTATAAAAATAAAAGCCTGCATTATTTTTGTGGCAATAAAACATATCCCCTTCCCCTTGACTTGTACCCAATTCCCAGTGACCTGATGACTTGATTTAGTGGCCGTTACCTATATCTGAAGACAGATTTTGGCCCCAAGGAGTTGCATGCTATAAAGTTCAAATAAATTCGCTTACAAATCTCATAAAAAGAGGTGAAAATACTTTCCTTCTCATCACAGATAAAAGAAAGTACATGTAAAGACTGATTGTGATTTGTGAAGTGTGTTCAGTTGGTAAAAATTGGCTCATTGTGGCAAAGTGTTTGACAGAGCACCTGTAACACACTCCAGAATAATAAAGCAAGCTTCTCCTCCCCCATTCTAGGCTATTTTTGACCGGAACCGGAAAGATGAACTGCCTCGGTTGCAATTGGAGTGGATTGATAGCATATGCATGCCTTTGTATCAGGTACTCAGGGTTCGTTCGGGAAGGGGTTGGGGGTGGTGGTGCTGCATGTCCTGACTGAGCCCGGAAAGAAGAATGTATGTACTTTCAGAAAGAAGAGTGTATGTACTTTCAGAAGGGTTAGTTTTAGGAGACCCTTCCAAGGTATTGCTAAGAATTCTGGCCACGGTCAATCTTTTCTCAGATTTCTGACCATCTCCTAGGAAAAGTCGGTGCGAGGAGGCCAGAGACCTGAATTCTCCTTCTAGGACATAATCTCCATGGGCCTTGATGCCCCCATCTATAAACCAGGATTAAAAATACGTTATTTCAGTATTTCCCAAGCTGTGCCCCACGGGACACAAGTAACCAGCCATCGCCTAACAGATACCTTTTCAAAGAGCTCTCAGGCCCGGCAACTAGGGAACCTGAAGGCTCAGAGAAGTCCTTCAGGAAAGAAACATGTTCAACCTTGGTAGGTTCCAAATTTCTCAAACATTGGACTGTGGAAATCTTTTTCATTTTTGTTTTACAAGTTTCTTTTACTTTTATTAATATCCTACGAGACACAAGAGTTCCGGGAAACAATGACACATGGTCTTCTGTCCTGACCACATGGTCTGGGCCACAGAGTTTTGAAAGAACCTTCCATTGGGAACCTTCCATCTGCCTCTCTCTGAGATGCATGTGACAAATGCTGCTGCCTGGTGGTCGGGACCCTGCTTCTGGCAAGGAGACAAGTGTCATGGGCTTTGAATGTTCACACTCCATTTTTTGAGTACAGATTAGTATCAGCACCAGTTAACACTAAGGGTTTAGTGTACATTGGCTTTTAATTCTACCACTAAGCGTTTGCTTTCATGTGTAAAACCTGGTGAGTTCTTTACCCCCTACCTCGCTCAATCAGACTGAGCTGCTTTTCCAACTTTAAAGTGAGAAGCACACGCAGGGAAAGCAAAACTGAGTTAGTTTCTCACTCTGTGTAACTCCATTAAAAACACAGTATTGGTTTTTAAGGACCTCTCACAGCCATTAAGTTTCAAGCTTATCTACCACTTCGTTTTCAGCACTTTTAGGAGCTGCTGAGCCCTGTCACATTACACACACACACACACACACACACACACACAATCTAGAATACTATCCTGAAGATGGAAACGTTTTAATGACTATAAACACCAAAATTCATATCTTTATTTTATATAAGCCATTAAATACATGATAGCATAAAATCAAAGTTTTAAAATAATCCTAACTACATTATTTTAGCTATAAATGGCATATAATGCTCTATGGTTTCATCATGAAAAATTGGGTAAAAAGATCAGGACCGATGTACATTTTATTATAAGAGGATCCTTAACGTTCTTTTCTTCCTGTCTGCTCTAACCTCCCTTGCTCCTCTGGTATCTCTGCATAAGCTGGGCCCCCAGGTGTAAAGCCCACAGCTGTTGGGTCAGATAGATCTTGCTTTGCTAAATTCACCTTGACGACCCATGTTGAATTATTTGTAATTTATTCTGTTTCCTGTGCCCACTGAGGCAATAAATGGGATGAATTTTTGCAAATGATAAATTCCTTTTACAGTGGGCAAAGCTTAGGAGGATGAAGACTTGTAATTGTAGGGGTGATAAATTTTCAGTATTAGTTTGCAAAGCTTCTTTGGAATGGACCCAAAGTCCACACATCCTTTCTATATGATTGGTTATAATAAATGCTGGGAAGGATTTTCATGGGCTTTTCCATGCTAATTTCATTGTTTTGGGACTAATTCACAATCATTTGGGTTTATTTTATACTTCCTATTAAATTCTTTGAAATCTTCAGGTTAAAAAGGAAACTACTTGAATTGAATCCAAAAATAGCACTTTCCAGAATTTAGGGAGTAAGATTACCACATCACATTATCTATCATTCCTGATTTTCCACATCTGTTTTACTTTACTACCTATCTGTGAGGTTAGATACACCTGCTATTTTTATCCAGAGAAAGTTAACATAGAGAAATTTTAAGTGACATTCCCACCAAGTTAGAGCTGTGTCCCACACTTTCATCGCCTTGGTTTTGGTGCAGTGGTCTTTCTACCATCCATTCCACCTCTACTGGATATTTCTTCCACAATCTTTTCATGAAAGAATCATGGCATTGTAAAGAGCAATGTGGAAGGAGTTGTTTATAAAAGTTCATGTTCAGGGCCGCCTGGGTGGCTCAGTCGGTTAAGCATCTGACTCTTGATTTCAGCTCAGGTCATGATCTCATGATTTTCGTGGGTTCAAGCCCCACATCATTCTCTGCACTAACAACACAGAGCCTGCTTGGGGTTTTCTCTTTCTCCCTCTCTCTGCCCCTCCCCCTTCATGCTGTCTCTGCCTCTCTCAAAATAAATAAGCAAATTAATTAATTAATTATTAATTAAAAAAAATTTTAAAGTTCATGTTCATTTCTGCTGGTGTCTTCTTAGTTAACAAAGCATGAAAATCATATTCATTTTTTAAGCATCGTATTATCACTTATTTTTAAAAATAGCACAGATTTTATTTGGAAATTCTTTGTAGGTCCTTGTAAACAGTATTTCAAAAAGCCCTCAAACTGAAACTTCACTGAGTGATTTTAAGTATCCTTTCTGAGAGTCCCTATTTTATTCCATCTCACACAGTTTGGGGAATGGGGGTTGTCCGTTATTTACCTGTGCAATGTGACGTTCACTGTTGCTCTCCAGAACTGAAATGGAATCAGTCAGTGGGCAGGAATAACCATTAGTGCGAAGACACAAAACCTTGAGGAAATAACTCACCAAGCAAGAGAAGTCACTGGTATAACACTAGTCACCGAGGCAAATGTCTACAGGAACTCAGATTGTTGCCAAAAGGCCAGATTGAGGTTTCGAACATGAAAGTGCGGTAATGAAGAGTCTGAGAAGATAGAAAGCAGATTGGAAAGTATGCAGGTGGCCGGAATCCCAAAAAGTGATTGATCTCAAATGCCATGGTCTGAATTATACAGACTGTAGAAATCCAGACTTACTAGGTCAGTCTGGGCACAGGGGAAAAGGATACAGAATAATACCGATGAGACAAAAAATGTTCCTTTTCATGGCCAGGGCCCTCACCCCAAGATGGAGCGGCTTGGGCGGCTGGAAACCTCGTGTAGAGCCTGAGACAGATAGTGATGGAGAACTGGGATCCATGCAGGGGGGCAGTGTGGAGAGCACCCTCTAGTGAGAGTGAAAGTTCACCGAAGTACTGGGCTGGAGGCCCAGAACATGGAAGCAGATGGAGTTGAGTAGCAGGATGGAGTGAGAGCTGAGCAGTAGATACAAATATGGTTTTAGTACAGCTTTTTGACTTCATTGACTTTGGGTGATGTAGTTTCCCTTCATGGTTTTGAAAAGCTTGTGCTTGTCAAACTTCAAAATACTTGAAGCACACTTTTCTCTTTCACTCCAGTGTGTGGAGTCGTGTCCTTCCTCCAAGCCAAGGGTAGATTATCGCTAGTCTTGGGCACCTGAAGGGCTACTTACTAGTGTGCCTAGGTGGGAACACACACAAACTACATTTTGGATGCCCACTGCATTTAAAACTTGAACTCTTATCTCTGAGCAACTTCAACTTCCAAATGGTGCCTATGTTGAAGGAAAAGCAGGCCAACTCCTCCAGTCCTCCTAAAATCTATTCATTAGGAAGTTACCTAAGTAATCTAGTGATTGATTGGAAGTGACTGCCAGAAAATATATAAAAATATATAAACAAATGGTGTGCAGGGAAGAACACGCAGAGAACGCTCCCAGATCGACAGTATCATAGGGAGATTCGACACTCATCTTTACATGTGAGTACATACGTCTCCAGAACTTGCTTGTCTTTTTAATCTGTTGGCTCCAAACTTTTCTTTAAAGAAAACAAAAGGTGGTCCTAACAGGCAGAAGTCATGATTTATCTGTGACAGCATGTTAATCAGGAAGCATACAGGGAATCAGGAGTGGGCAGGGATCCATCAGAGCGTGTGCCCCAAGAGAAGACTAAAGCCCAGTTAGTTAGCTCTGTCCTAGCAGGGTATCTTGGAGGAACACACTGACATCTGATTCCCGTGCTTTCTGCTGTCTTTGCGCCCTGCTGGGGACCCATTAGCCTGCTGCTCAACATCTTTGGAGGGAGAAAAAAATATAAAGAAAGAAAGAAGAAAAAGAAAAAAAAAAGACACCATCAAACTTTGAAGCCATTGCTATACCAGCCTTAGGGATAAACAGAAAGCCTGATGTGACAGCATCACACTGAGCTTCTCTCTGCAATAGCGAGCTCAGTTTTTGCCCTTTGTTTTCATCCTTGACTTAATCAAACCTCAGCGTACCTAGAATCTCAATGATGCATAGAGGCATTATAAATCTTCTGTTGTTAAGGATTGAGGGATTTAATTGTTATTATGAACCTAATTGCATTTGCAGCCCATCCTATACAGGTTCTTGATTTTGGTGGATTTTTTTTCCACAAATATTTCAAAAGGGCTTGACTTGGACAGGGTCGAGCCGGAATCATTCCCTGTCTAGTTCCACAAGAGTATTGCCTCTTTACTAAAATGCCATGGCATTCCTGCAACAGGCTGGGCCTCTGATGTTTTGATTACGGTAACTTTTGACCTTTTTTCTGCCTTCAGTTTTAATAGTCATTTCAGAAAATACCTTTGCCTGATGCAATTAATATGCTCTCTGAAGGGAGGGAGAAAAGAATCTTTATAACGGAGATTGTAAGGACTGGGAATTAGGATTGGTAAATTGGAAAAGAGGATGGAAAATGCTGGGACAGTTTTTCTGGACACCCTTAAAAGTTCCTTAAACACAACTTTGCTCATGCTTTGTGTCCAATTTTTTAAACAAGAATAAGCAATGAGCTACTAGAGTAGAGTGATTAGTTAGACTATAACATCATCTTCTCTTAAAAACCTACAAAGAAGGGAATGTGGATACAGAGAAGAACAATTGCATCATACACTTTTTAAAAAAGGATACCACCCAAATAGGTTTTCTATC